TTTACCTCGATGACATTATCGTATTTTCGACGTCTCTTCAAGAGCACTTAGAAAGGCTACGATCTGTCTTTACCCGACTACGCGAATCTAACTTTAAAATTCAGTTAGATAAATCCGAGTTTCTAAGAAAAGAGGTTGCATACCTCGGACATATAGTAACTCCTGAAGGCGTGAAACCTAACCCCGACAAAATCTCAGCAATACAAAATTTCCCTATACCAAAAACTAATAGGCAAATAAAAAGCTTTTTAGGACTCTTAGGCTATTATCGGCGATTTATTCCAAATTTCGCTCAACTCACGAAACCTCTCACTAAGTGCCTCAAAAAAGGCGCAAAGATTGTTCACGACGACGAATTTGTATCATGTTTCGAAAACTGTAAGACATTACTTACCAACGACCCAATACTTCAGTACCCAGACTTCACAAGACCGTTCAATTTGACAACTGACGCAAGCAATGTAGCTTTAGGGGCAGTTCTTAGTCAGGGTCCAATCGGTAGTGATTTGCCTGTAGCTTATGCGTCACGAACCTTAAATGATTCGGAAAGAAATTACAGCACTACCGAAAAAGAGTTGTTAGCTATAGTGTGGGCTACCAAATATTTCAGACCTTACCTCTATGGGCAGACCTTCAATATTATAACAGATCATAAACCCCTCCAGTACCTTTATTCATTAAAGGAAGGCGTCTCCTCAAAATTAATGAGATGGAAAATGAAACTTGACGAATATAATTTCAAAATCATCTATAAAAAAGGCAAACTCAATACAAATGCTGACGCTCTTTCTAGAATCGAAATTCATACTAAGGAAACTAACGATTTTTGGGAACAACTCGATGACTTCCTTGGAGAAGCCTCCAACTATCAGAATCAAAGAATTACCTTTCTAGATCAAAATTTAAACACACCTCCCACGACACAAGCTAATCCAAATTCACCACTGATAATTCAAGATATTAGCTACCCCAATTTAAACCCTGAACTAGACGATATCTCAATGATTGTCAACTTGGACAATGAAACAGATCAACCTGACTGTCAGGAACTTCCTACCGTTGACAATACAAATACTGACAAAGATATAATCAATGAAACAGAACAAACTGACTACCACGAACTTCCTTTTGTTATTGACAAAACCAATACTAATGAAGACGAACTTGACAAGGATGATGAAACCCGGCACTCTAATAATCAACACCCGGTTGTTACAATTCCTATATCAGACCAACCATTGAACTTTGGCCAAAATCAGATCGTAATTAAAACGGTCCTGCACTCTCCCGCCAAGCCGAAAATCATAATTTTATTCGAGAGAAAACAGAGGCTATTAGTGCAAATTTCAAAGAACAACCTTGAATCAGATGTTGTAAATTTTGTCAAGGAATATATTGTACCCGATGTCCCATACTATATATATTTCGAAGATCCTGACATATACGAACCCTTCTCAGGCGCTTTACAAAAGTATTTTAAATGGCCCTCTATCAAGTTTAAAAGGTGTCTTGAAAAACTTCTAGACATCACTAGTAATGATGAAATTAAAAGTTTAATACAAAATTATCATGAAGGGAAATCAAATCATCGCGGGATCGATGAAACCTATTCTCGCTTAAAACAAAAGTACTATTGGCCAAATTTGAAAAGTTCCGTTCAGTCATACATAAATGACTGCGAAATCTGTCAACAAGCCAAATACGAGAGACACCCTGTTAAAGCGCAAATGAATATCACTCCCACTGCTGTGAAGCCATTTGAAATAATTCACATGGACACATACACATTTGAAAAATCTAAATTTTTGACCATTATCGATAGTTTTTCAAAGTACGCTCAAGCTTACCATCTCAATTCAATGACAGGTACCGAAGTAGCTGACAACCTTATTAGATACTTTTCCCATCATGGAATCCCGACACAAGTTATTACTGACAATGGCACCGAGTTTAAAAACTCAGTCATATCCGAGTTATTAGGTTTACATGGAATCGAAATACATTTCTGTTCCCCGAACCATCCACAGTCAAATGGCGTAGTCGAAAGATTTCATTCGACAATATCTGAGCAACTCCGAATTTTAAACACTCAAGGCTTTCAAAAAACATCTGTCCAAATGAAAATGATATACGCAATCTTAGCATACAACAACTCTGTTCATTCTGTGACTAAATTAAAACCCATCGATGTCATAAATGGTCATCTCAGTGAAAAAGATACATTTGACATCAGCTTAGACCAAATTTTGTTGAATGATTATGTAGAACAACACAAAGCACGCAGTAAGCTATTATATACCAAAATCAACGAGGCGCTTGTTCAAAATAAAGAAAAAGTAATTGAAAAGGCAAACATAGGTCGAGATAGTGCAAAAATATTTCAACCAGGTCAGAAAGCATTCGTTAAGAAAAATATACGTCAGAAAAATGCAAATAAATTCCAAAAATCATGTACACTAACATCAGTCGATCCTGGTAAAAAGACCGCTACCACTGATAAACACAATAAAGTACATATCGATAATTTGAAGCGTCCCCTTCGCAAAACATATTCATTTAGCAACTAAATGTTTCTCTCCAAGTACGACATACATACATGTAGGTATTATTCATTTGCAGATTCCTGCAAGTAACGGTTGGACTTCAGGATAGCATAACTATACGTAACCTCGACAACAATCCAGGACTACTTCCCGTGGAAATTGGTGAAGCAAAAATAAAAGACTATGACTTTTCACTCATTCATTATTATGATATGAATCCCATCATTTCTGAAATTGAAAAATTATCAATTTCCTCCTCACGTATAGCAGAAACCATTTCTTCAAATTTAAATGTCACTACATATTTGTCCAATTATTTCAGAACATTAAAATTTGTTCAGCGACAAGTAGAACAAAAGTTACATAATATATTTCCCCATACAAAGCGAGGAAAAAGAGGCATATTAAATGGCATTGGGTCGATATTCAAATCAATAACTGGAAACCTTGACGCCAATGATGGCGAACGTTTCGAAAATCTAATTCAAGAGCTTCAAAATAATCAAAGAGAATTGACTAACAGTGTCACACAGAATAATGCACTGTCAGTATCTCTTATTGATAAGTTCAATAAAACTGTTCAGCAAATCTGTCATAATGAACAATTGCTGAATAATAAAATTAATACCATATATGCAATTGTTCATCGTACTACAATCGATTCAGATCAGCATAAATTCATAGTAGACACAGTATCTCAAATTATGAACAGCTACGAAGTAACTCTGTCAATATTACAAGACGTTGAAAATTCAATAATTTTTGCACGTCTTGGAACAATTCACTCTAGCATTATTACAACCGAAGAAATTTTTGGTGAACTGAAACTATTGAGCTCAAGATTAGGCCAGGAAAAATTTGCGATTCCAGTTTTACTAGATAACATACCAACTTTTGAAAAAATAATCAAAATCTCCAGTTATTCTGTGGGCAACAAAATTACATTCGTTTTATCATTCCCAATCTCATACTATGAGTCATTTAACTTATATCGTCTCTTTCCAATCCCGATATATTTTGAAGGTCAATTTAAGACTATCATTCCAAAGGAGCCTTATTTGGTAAAAAATGAATTGCACTTTGCACTTTTCGGCGACATTTGTACTGAAATTACTCCTAAAAAGTTTCTCTGCGAGAAGACCATGTTGCGAGACATTAATGGTCCATTACCCTGTGAACTTGAACTATTCAATGGAAGAAACGCCCCTGCATGTGCCCGAACTCCACTGATAATCAATCAGCCAAGTATCGAACGAATCCAACGGACTAATCAATGGGTATTGATCCTGCCACTACCAGATGTTATCAAAATGGAATGCCACGAAGAAATGCAAATGAAAAGATTGACGGGAACTTACCTACTTTCTATTCCTGTCAACTGTCAAGCCGAAATTAATCACCAAATCATCAAAAATGAACCCGAAACGATTGTCGCGGGCCAACCTATAATATTCCCGGACTTAAACCTGGACACTAAAGGCGACATCACAGAAACAAATTTCAGTCTGCATCTAGAAAAAATTAAGCTGGACGAGTTAAGTAAAATCAAGTCAAGCATTATCAGCAACAAACCCAACTCCAAAAAACCTACAGAATTTTTTATACCCAGTGCCTGGACACTGATAATATATGGATGTATATTACTCTTGGGTGTCTACGCATTCTGGAAAACCATTTTGAAGAGGAGGAAGCTCAGAAATAGAAGTATTCAACAACCAGAAGTCGAACTTCATCCTATTCAACTTCCTTGAAGAATTCTTCCCCGAAGTTGAATCTCAGGGGGGAGGAGTTATATCAGCCGTTCCTGCTGATATGATAGGAATACTGCCGACGATGCTACTAATTTCCTAGAAGACCTAGAGTTTACTTTATTGTTCTCAACACATTTTACAGTCAGTCAGATTTAAGCCTTTGTACTGTTAACATCATAATAGCATTGTAATAATTTTGTAAAAGTACAGTTTTGAGTTTTGTATTTTCGAAAAAATAAACTTTTTAAAAAGCGATCTCGAAGCATCGATCTTATAACTCACGTATGTATTTGGCCAATATAGTTAGGACTACATTCGTTTGGATGAAAACTGACATTTAATCTGGCTCTGAGCCTTTGACCTTTCTCCTGAAAATACTTACATAGCAAAGCACATGTTTGTAGTTGCTACACTAAAGAATTCAATCAGAGCAATTCTGTTTGTATCTTGCCTAATACCTACCTTAACCATATTGTTTTACTCAAACTATTAATAATACTGGTTATGCTTACAAAATGCATATTCCGTTCACTACGTCTTAGCAAGTATTGTTACATTGTTAGAAGTTTCAGGAGCTAACAATGTTGTTACAAATAAAGAGATCACGTGGGCATCTATGTTGATGCTATTCTTGGCAACACTGGCAGGTGTCTGTCATCTTTTTACATTTTTTCGTTCTGGGTCACGGAACTAGAAATTTAGGAGTGTTGTCATTGTCAGTTAGCTGCATAACCTCACATTTTGAACGATTGCAATTTCATGTTGCATCCTACATTTTCAAGTGATTTGCAGACTATTTTCTTTCTTTGGTGATCCCCTGTGTGTTCTGTATTCTTCATGATGACTTCCAGAAGCAAACGAACAAACAAAGCTCAAATGGAGATCATAATAGATTTTTTAGGGGAGAACCGTATACTTGCCACGCAAAAAATGCACCCACAAAAAACCGGGACTGCGAAAACTTGTGGGATAAGTTAACTGAAAAACTGAACTCTGTTGAGAGCGGTGCTAGTAAGAACAAAAGACAATGGAAAACTGTAAGTAATCGCATTATCGAGCAGTAGTAATATCAATAATAAAACCATCATTCTTTCAGTTTCTGTATGAGTGGAAATCAAAAACCAAAAAGAAAGCTCGTCTATATAAACATTCCATCATGGAAACGGGAGGTGGTGGCTACACTTGTATAGAATTGACGGATTTAGAAAATAGACTTTTACATGTATTGGGTGGTTGGATCCATATTGTGGGATGTCCCAGTCTAACTAATATTGAGCTGGGACTACCTGCAGAAATTGAAATAGATGAGCTGCAAGATGATGCCGAAAGAACAGAAACTGGAATAGAGCAGCAAGACGCTGAAAGAGAAGAGGAAAATTCTGATAAAATATCTCCACCAGTTTCAAAAACACCTATATTCAGAACAGGTGGGTTGTTAGTATATTACTATTGCTGTTGCCAAAAAACATCAGCCCTCCCTTTTAATTCAATTAGTTAAGCTTTTTTGTGTAATTTATATCCTTACCTTTAAAAATAAGAAAAAGTAATAACTAAAATGTTTTGTTTCTATTGACACCTCAAAAATAAAGGAGTATGGCATTTACATACTAAACTGGGACTTATTTATTTATTGTGCTTTGTAAAGTTTGTCACTGTAAGGTACTAGTTCAAGAGTGTTCACAAGAGAGAAAAAGTGCTTTCTGCTTTTATTCGAAGTTTTGTTTCTTTAAAATATAGATTTTTTTGTAGTGTGCAAAATTTAATGTTCTTCATATAAAAGAGAATTTGGTTTTCACAAGAAGTACAAAATTTGATGGAAAAAACCTTTATTTGATTTATTATTCATGATTGTATGCACTGTTTAACTTTAAGCTGAGCTTATCGATATACAGTACATACAGACATGTCATTTTATTTACTATGCTATACCTGAAAGTTGTTGGACTGTTCTCATTGTATTGTTTTTGCAGCTTTAAGGCAGAAACAGCTGCAAGAAGCAGCTGAATTGTATGCATGTAGTACAATGGAAATGGCAGAAGCTGTGAAAACAATGGCTGCTGCAATATCACAACTAGCTGAAGGACTATCAGAGATAGCAGTTGCTCTTAGCAATGTTTCAAAAACCTTAAGATGGGGAATAAAACTTGTAATCAGTGGTAATAAAATACTAAAATCTACATTAAACATTTATTTTTGTAAACATTTTTCTTTATAATTCATGTGTTCGCATTAGGTAATTGATTTAGAAGTTGCTGGCGGATAAACCTACCCTCTGTCGGAAAATTATTGCCTGAAATTGCAGCAATATCAGAATGGCTGCTGTCACTAGTCTCTTCAGTATTGTCATCAGAGTTATCATTATCTTCACACTCTTGTTCCGAAAAATTATATATTCTTATTATGCAAAACAGTGCAAGCATGAACTACCATTCTACTTGTATCGTGAGAGTAATGAAGAACTCTTGTCTTTTCGTAAACACCTAAAACAGGCTGTCCAAACACCAAAGACCCTTTCAACCACATTGCGAGTGCTGATGTGTATGCTATTATAATTAGCTTCAGGGGTATTCGGTCTAGTCTCTAGGACTGGTGTCATCAGCCATGGCTGAAGAGGATAGCCTAAATCACCAAGTAGGTAGCAGTTCCTCCTTCCATCTTCATACTTTTGAGATATCTCTGGATGTTTGAGGAGTCCCACATTGCAGCATCATGGACTACTCCAGGATACTTAACATTCACATTGGTTATTATTAATTGAGAGTCAACAATCTGTAAAATATTGTGAATTATGTTTTAAGTCAAGGCTATATAAATATGATCTTACTGCCTGAACATTCACACTGTGAAACCCTTTTCTATTAATATATGCTATTGTGCTATTGATGGATTAACTGGATCATCTGTTTTGGGTGGCACTATCGCAATATGAGTACAATCAATAACGTCTCTATATATATATATATGCTGTAGACCATCATTAATTTACAGAAAATGTATACCCATCTTTGACTCTTCTAAAGTTGTAGGAAACTTGATATACAGAGGTAACAAATGTAACGCAATTAGTCTGCTTATTTTGTTTATTACTCTGCTCATTACAGGTTGGCTGATTGCTATAATAAAGTCGTTTAGTATGGTTGTTTGATAACCACCATAAGCATAAAATAATAAACTTGAAATGACCTGAAAATAATTTGCTTAATGACAGGCAAAAAATTAAAAATTCATATTACATCACAGTGTGAATAATTATGTTAGAATAATATGCTGATTATTGTTAGTATGAAAAAATAGTTTTTTGTTACCTGCAGATGAAAAGGTACTGTGTCTCTTCTCGTAACTTCACCTACACATTCTTGTATTGCAAGCGTAAACTTCGACTGCAATTTGTTAGTTGTGAGATTATACAAATATGACTATGAAAAATGTAAATCGCCAATTGGCAAGCCACCGTCATATTGGATTTAGCAATCACTTTGCTAACTGTGCGTCTCTCATCAAGCCGCTTCACGTGTACCCATATGATAGGTGTTACTATGGAAGTGATGAATCGGCATATTGGATTCAAAATGGCGGCAACTAATTTATTTTTTATTGTCACACAAACCAGAAATGTGTAGAAAATTTCAGCTCAATTGGTTAAAGTTAAATTATTCGGAATTCAGTTCCAAGATTTGTCCCACGCATATGTACATACTGACATACCAACATACAAACAGGTCAAGTTATATAAAAGCAAGTTGAGTTTTCAAGAAAAGCAAAGATTTTTCGAAAAGGAAAAGTGATAAGAACGAAACTAATCACCCGTATCATTCTTCCATAAAAGAATATTCACACACAATTTCAGAGCTGTACCTATATTTGTTAACAAGTTCCGATTGAAGAAAAAATAAAATAAAATGTACAAAAAAATGTATTTTTTGACAAAAAATGAAAACATTGTTTTTTAGTCATCTCTATACACACCATGAAATTATCAGAAGAAAAGGATTCAGAATAGCCTGCTGCAAATACGAAGTTTTATGCTGGTAGAGATCCATTATTTACTGTATGTACGAGTATGTATGTAGGGGGGGGGGGGGGGGGGTGGCTTTGGACAAAATTCCATTAGCCACAGATTTTCTAAATTTGTATTATGTGGTGCTTTATATCACCACCTTAGCTAATTTAGCGAACTCAACTATTTTATCCAGGATGGACTTTCTGTTTAAACTTAGCAATGATGACAATTGGATTGAAAGTGATATCTGATCCTCCAAAATTAATCTTTGTATTAAATTGGAAACATGAGGTTCATTTCCTGTGCATTCACAGAAAATATGGTTTAAATCTGCTACATTCTGTAAAGGTGGTCTCCGAATCTACCATGTAGTCTCAATCTCGTTATTAGGGTAGAGTAAAATCTTCCGACTTGATAATCGAAAATGTGTGATGACCTGACTGGTAAAAAAGGATTGATTATTGCATACGGGCTTCTAGAATTACTACAATATATGCTCCATCGCTGTTTCCATGAGGCTAGCATATTATTTTTGAAATTATTATTTATATCATTTAATGAAACTTATTTTTTGTACTCAGTAGTTTCTACAAAACAAGCTTCTCTGGCCGCCTTGTCAGCTATCTCATTACCGCGTATTCTTGAGTGTGCTTTCGACCAGACAAAATTAACTTTTATGCCTTTCTTTGCCAACTCGCACAAGGTAGCCCTTATTTCCATTAAGATTTCACTATGGAAACATTTAATAGCTGACCCTTCTAAGTTCTTAAGCACCGACTGAGAATCTGAAATTATGGCTCTTTTATATTAATCTTCATCCAGTCCAGTGTAGATTTTATAGTTAAAGATTCCGCTGTAAAGATTGAACAGATTTCCGGGATACAAAACCGGAGAATGATATTATGAAATGGACTAAAGATAAAGTATGCATAACCAGTGCCATTTGAACTTTTAGATCCGTCTGTATATATATGAATAGCAGATTCATTGCTCCTTAGTACACTAGATAGTATGAAGTTATTTAGAGAGGTGTGTTCCGTATAGTTAGGAAGTGTTTACTTAGATGTAATGACTTCAAGAGGATGTTCAAAAATTGGAAGCTTTCTTGAATAAATGAAATATTGTTGGAATTTGCTGGTATCAGTGAAGGCTGTTACAAATAATGGAGATTTTTTGTGTCGCCAGTATGGATGACAAAGGTCATTAACACTGGCCGCTGATATTTTTCCAGTAAGGAGTGTATTAGATGATCTGCATTTAATTAATAACTTATGCGCGTATTTACGTCTGATATCCAAAGGAGGTTCATTACATTCGGCAAGTAGGGCAGGACATGGAGATGACCTCATTGCCCTGACACTGATACCCAATGCCTTGAATTGGATCCTATCTAAAGTCTTTAAATGTATATTTGCTGCATAATCATAGAGTACACATCCATTGTCCAGAATAGACCTAATGTAGGACCTGTAGAACTGAAGAGAAATACAAGGATCCGCTCACCATTTCGATTTTGTGATGAACCCAAACATGTTCAGTCTTTTTTCACAACGATCCTTTATGTAGTGAATGTATTTATCCCACAATAACTTAGAATCTAAGACAACTCCCAAGTACTTGGATGTGGTCACGCACTCGAAAGCTGATGTCTCGGATTTTTAACTCGGTGCCCACGTTATTTAACCTGCGTCGTGCGAAAAACACGATAGCAGATTTTTCCGCAGACATGATGAGTCCCATTTCTCTAAGCCAATTTTGAACACAATACATTGCTCTACTGAACTATGGCTTGTGTATATGCAAATGTCGTCCGCGTATTGAATAACATTGATCTCATCGTCCATTAAGTCGTGTAATCCAGCAGTGTATATATTGAATAATATAGGTGAAAGAATTGATCCTTGAGGAATACCATTAGTGACAATACGTGGTCCATACAGTTCATTTCTATGATTACGTATAAAAAATTTTCTATTCGCATAGAGAGCTATAATAGATGCAGCAGCTCCCTCACGGATACCTAGAAGTTTAACTTTATCGAAAAGGATATCTAACTTGACGTCATTGTAGGCACCTTTTATATCCAGGAATAGACAGGAGGTGTATTTTTTCTGGGAGAAGCTGACACAGATATCAGATGTGAGGTGAACTAAGGCATCCATGGTACCATAGCCTTTTCTGAAGCCATATTGTGTTCTAGGTAGCAATGAATAGAATTCAACGAACCATTCTAGGCGAGTCTTAATCATCCTTTCAAATGTTTTTGTGAGACAAGACATAAGAGAGATCGGCCTATATGAATCAAAAGACTCACCAATATGACTTTTTGCATATTACAACAGAAATATAATAGAAAATAACTCTAATCTTTATGAGATAGACACAATACGTAGATTGGGGACCACTTTTTCTTAGTTTACACAAAAAGAGGTCTGTCTATGACGAGCGTTCACCAGAGATAAACCCTTCGCGTTCACTCACGACTGTCCATTCTTTACTGGTCAATTGAAACCACATGTAGAGTAGCGGCGGGTAATATGAAATACACCGGCTAATATGGAATACCATATAATTGGCTAAACTTATGCTGCCTTCTACAAGGCGGTAGCAAAAATATGCTCGTCGTAAGTGCAGATTTATACACAAACACGCGCATAACTCTGTAATCGTTCGTTAAATAGGTATTCGTCAACACCTGTTTTTCAGTCATACAGAATTTTTGTTGGGTTCCGTGAAAATTTATTTTATTATCATTTAGTTGGTGATTTTTTATTCATATTCTCATCATAGAGCAGGTAAGGACTGGAGATTAATATAAGATGTAGTTATTGCGGGTCTATACTCGTCTAGACATCTTTAAAAACTCCTAACCTCAACACAACTAAGGGCGGCTAATATGGAATACTATTCCATATTACCCGCAAAAGTTTTCCTCATAAAACTGCCATCTAAAAATTAATTTATTTTGTTTCAGAAGCCTTATTAGAACACCAGGGTATCAATAATGCCTAAAACTACGGTCGTGGATAAAAAACGCAAAAAGTGGAATGAAGAGAATATGCGGAAAGCAGTGATAGCAGCCAGGTGCAAACAAATGGGTTACTTGAAGGCTCGTAAAACATACAATGTTCCAGGAGCTACACTTTTCAGGCTGTGCAAAAAGAACATGGAGCCTGAAGTAGTGTGCCGTACCAAACTAGGCCGTAAGCCCGTTTTACCTGATATTTTGGAAAAAGAATTAGTTAAGCACTGTCTAGAGATGGATAAATCGTTCTTTGGCTTGACGCATCGCGATGTTTGTAATGTTGCTTTTCAATTAGCAAGAAAAAACAATATTCCTCATCCATTTTCATTACTTAGAAAGTCAGCTGGCAAGGATTGGCTTCATCACTTCAGAATGAGGCATAAAAATGTTTTAAGTCTGAGAAGACCTACTGGAACTTCATACGCTCGCGCCTTAGGATTTAATAAAGAAAATGTAGACAAATTTTTTGACCTGTTAGAGACCCTAATGGAGACTATCGATGACTCACTATAATTATTCGTCAAGCCAAGTTTATAACGCGGATGAAACTGGTTTAACCATTGTTCAATCAAGAAATCCAGAAGTTTTTTCTCTAAGGGGCAAAAGGCAAGTTGGGACAATGACGTCTGCCGAACGAGGTTCACTTATAACCTCAGTCCTTTGCATAAGCGCTAGTGGCAATGTTGTACCCCCCCCCCCCTTCTGATTTTTCCCAGAAAAAATGCAAGTGAACTTCTAAAGAAGGGTGCCCCGCCAGGAACCATTTTTTCCTTTCATCCGTCAGGCTGGATTCAGATGGATATCTTCACACAATGGTTTAAACATTCTCTAAAACATGCTACACCGAAAATCCCATTGTACTGATTCTAGATGGTCACCATACTCACACTAAAAACGTAGACGTTATTTTGGCTGCCAGGGAAAACCATGTGACTTTACTTTGCCTACCGCCACATACAACTCATAATATGCAGCCATTGGATAAAACTGTTATGGGAGCATTAAAGACATATTGCAATGAGGAAGTACGGCTATTTTTAAGAACACATAATCGGCCTGTCAATCATTTTTGACTTAAGTGAACTTTTTGGTAACGCGTATCTGAAAATCCAAAGTGGTAAAAGATGTGTTAACGGATTTCGCCAAACTGGATTGTTTCCAGTTAACCGGAACGTATTCACAGAAGAAGACTTTATTCAAGAGGCACAAAGAAATGAAGTCCAAGTAAATTCAGAAGATTATGTGCTCCAGGAGAAACCCCAACCAGAAAACACAGCTCAAAATGCCACCATAGTCTTACCACAGGATATAATTCCCAAGCAAACTTTGAGGAAGAAAGAGGGCACAAGAGGTCGGAAAGCAGGTCAAGCCAAAGTTTTGACGTCGACTCCAAAAAAAGAAGAGTTGAAACAATCAATAGAAATATCTTCAGTTAAAGAAAGGGACAAAGTTAAAGGAAAAATAGGACCAAGTGACGTACCAAAAAAGAAATTTCAAATAAAAGCAATACAAAAATCAAAAAATGGTAAATCTTCATGGGAAGATTCCCACAGTTCTGCATCTTTACATGACTCCTCATCCAACGACGATGAAGAATTTCCTGTTTATGATCCTCCATCTAAGGAGGCTGAGTGTTTGTTTTGTTCGGGGTCATATTCGGCTAATACAAGGGGAGAAGTCTGGATTCAGTGCGCAAGATGTGAACTTTGGGCTCATGAGTTACGTACTGATACACCAAAGGATGTTTACATTTGTGATTTTTGTCGCTAAAATATACCATATATAAGATTTCTTAGTTCATTTAGTATTTCATATTACCCTATAGTGGTATTCCATATTACCCGACCACTTTTTTGTAATGTCAGAAGTACTTATTTTATTTAACTTTATTTTTCTTTTGAATGCACAAAGTTTTTGAAATTCCAGACTTTTATTTGCTTAGATGGATAGTTACCACAATATTTAATGACTTTTCTAATGCACTGTACTGCACCTAGAAGAATTTACGACTATAATAGAGAACAGTATTCCATATTTTTTACTGTCGGTTGGGCCACCATGATGGCCATTTTCAAAAGTACAAATAATGACAACGTATTTTATATTCCGGTTGACTCTTATGCAATTTTCGACTACTAATGCTGCATCTGCATTTTGTTAACCGAAAAAAAATGTTTGAAATAGTACTTCGACACCTCAAGTGCTTCATGTTGTTTTTCTTGTGAAGTATGTTGCAACAACCGTTCTAGGTGGTTTTTTGCATTCTCGAAGGATGTTTCCTTGACCATGACCTCCACCGCGAACTTCAGGTTAATTTCAAGGTCAAACAAATAATTTCAAATGGAACTCCAGATTTGGAAACAGGGCGAAAGCCTACATCTGAATATGACCTTTTCGATAAACATAACAATGACCTTGGAGGCCATTTCACGCTCTGGCAAAAATGTTCGACAACACAGTTGTGAGGATCGTGCGGGGTCACTCAAGTGACCTGGACCATCATCTTGACCATGACCAAAGGTTAGGTCAAAATTTTTAAAGGAAACTCGTCATTTTTATCCTGGAATTGGAAAAGCAGCATTTATCTCCGAATGTGACCTTGACCTCAAAGTCAAGGTCATGTTATGTGTAACACGGCACCTTGATTTTTATACTAAAATTCCAGAGACCTTGAAATTTTATATTTAAGCTGTAAACGTTTGCCACAACCGTGAAGGTGATCGTCGAATATTTTTACTAGAGCAAATTGATTTCAACGTCTTGATTTGAAATGGCCACCATATCTGAGCTAAGCGTTTGTATACAACACAGCGCACTGTGTTAATGGGTACCAACCCGCTCAAGCATATGAAACAATACGATATATTAGTGAACATACGACACACTACTACTACTCTCCTTGTCACTCTGTCTCACTCAGTCTAGACTTTTGCTTTTCAGCCAACAGTCTAAGAAACATAACTGGACGCGTGGTTTCGATTATTACCTGATGAGCAAAAATAGTCCTTAATAATAAAGAATAAAAAGTTAGCGCACTTTTTAAAAATTACTAAGTATGTTTCCAAACTTTGTCAGCTACTGTATGTCAACCTTGCTTGTCTATGCTCGAAAGCAAAATGCATCTTCAGCGATTCACCAAATACGGATATGCTTACTCACTTAGAACCTTGTCAATAAATACTCGTGGTAGAAATGCGTATTACTGAGTAAAGTGCATAATGGCTCCTTTTGGTCGGGAACTGGCTGGTTTGATGCTTCATGACCATTTTGGGTCTCATTTAGAAAGATGCAATTACCGGAAATGTATTAGCAGAGAATGCAATGAAAATCGATGGTTATCATGTAACTGATAAGTATGTTGGAGCCGGCGAACCAGATTTTCTAGACATTAAATAGTATTCAGAACATGCGCGTTAAAGCTACCACTTGCTTCGATTGTAAAATGTACTAAAATGTCTATGTTAACATTTTAGGGGAGGTAAGAGACTTGCTTACTGTGAGAGAAGTGGGTTAATAATTGCCTTGAATGGCCTCTTACGTACTCTAGGACATCTGCTCGAAGGTCGAGCAAAGGGCAGAGATGTCGCGCAGCACCATCAGGGGTCAACGTGTCAAGTGGTCGGAATAACAGGTAAAAGATCCTGATGAGGTTGAGAATAAGCACAAAAATCTGCGGATGGTCATAGTTACAAAAGCAAACGGAAAAATTCTATTTTACACACTGGTTATATTAAGATTTTATAAAAACAAAATGATGGATTTTAGTCAAAAATAAACGTTGAAATGCCTATTACACGGGCTACAGCTATGAGGTGTTTCTAGATTTGTCTTGACATTGCGAGTGCTACCAGGTATACTAAAATTTCACAATTATCTACTTCAAATTGCCAGTTACATTCTAGTGTAACTTACACACAATATGTTTAAAGCCTTGTAGCTGGGATGAAAAGTAAAAAAAATGCGTGAACCTTGAAATTTTAACACAGCCTTAATGAATAACCTTCTAGATCCTATTATATTATGCTCCTTACCTCAATATTTGGCAAAGCACAGATTTCATCCTCATTTAGATTTTTACTTCCAACTGTATAACTGGCAATAGTGAATTTTGTCTCTGCACTTGGTGGCAAGGGTTTGTTTCTATCATACAATTTGAAATCACAATCAGCAGGACGACAATAGTGGAATACTGACGGTAACGATATGCAAAGTTGGATCAAGCTTGCATAACCAAAATCTTCATAGTTTATCTCCTTGGCAAACATTGACCTGAAAAAAAAAATGGTACCAATATCAAAATAACTAGTTCTGAACTAATCTGTTGGAACAGGCTTGTTGTCGTAAACATTACATTAATTGAAGTAATATTTAAAATTACCAATCCTCCTCCAAAAGACGAGTAGCTTGGTTGAACATTTTAAAGAAGTAGTACGAAGTTTTGGCGTATTTGGGGTGGAAGATTTCATTATTTTGTTTTTGGAAGAAGCATAATCTGCTACAGTAGCAGAGAAGGAAATTAAGTGGAATATCAGCAACATTAAGCTATTAATTGACTTGAAATAAAAGGAATATATAAGATTAATATTACTAATAAAATGACTGAAACAAATTCATTAAAATTTATTATAAACACTTGACTATTTAATCTTCATATTTTTAAATGTATGAATAAGTGGCGTCTTACCTATAGAGTTTGGGAAGATCAGCACACCATATCCCATTTTGATGTTGTCCTATCAAAAACTTTAGATTTTCTCTTATTGGCAGAGGGACATCGCTTTGAATATCGTGTGATTCAGCCGGTACTTTATCGATCAAAAGTTTTTCAGTTCTGCCACAGCCAAGGGAATTTTGCGAATCACTGGAATTGAGAAAACCTTATAAAAATACCAACAGAAAAATGTTTTAAATTATTGCTCAACATTCAAACAACGTCTGTAGACCGCACACATTTGATAAGATAAAAGCTTTTACCCACCTCTTTTCTTCAACACTTGAACTAGATTTTGCCATATGACAATCAAATAACCACTTGTAAATATCTTGACTCTTCTCGGGCAATGTAATTGTCGCTAAATTCAACTTAGAGGAATTTATTTCATGATTTTCAGGTATACTATACAGAACTGGTTTTTGGGCTGGTTGCTGATCAAGTCTCTGAACTGGTTTTTCAGGATAGCTTTGATATGAGGAACCATTTTCGCTTGGTGGATAAAAAATCTGGAGTTGAGATTGTGTACCAGGTTGTTTGTAAGGATTTGTGATTACTGGTTTTTGATATTGGAGATGTTTCCTCAGTTGAATGGGGATGGGGAAGGATTGCCTACAAAATGTTTTAGCATTAATAACATGACCTCCCAGATTAAAATAAAGCACACAACTGAATCAGTCAATTATTTCAAAAACCGCTTAGGTCAATTTTTAGCAGCATACTTTTTCACTGAGAATGTTTCATTAAAGTAGGTGATTTCTGCATGCACTACTACTCGACACTGGGTACTTGAATGGGTCTTTTCAAAAACAGCACCAGAATCCTTATTTGTTTTATGTTCATATTATGTGCTATATGCACCAAAATACCAATTTAATATCACTAACTAAAAAATTAAGTTTATGGGTGAATACATTAAACACTTCACAAAATTATCTATTTAAGAGTTTTATTTTTTCCTACCAATTCTCCTAGTTTGTATGACTGGTACGAAATCCTTTGATTACACTGTAAATGTTTTAAAAATCTGTCCATATAGATAATATATGAGTGAACTACTATCTTGTCGTTAATTTTGCTGTCTGTTAGTCAAGTAAGCATGTGGTTCCTCTACAAATGATTATTGAAGAAGTTTGAATTAATAAGTCTATGTATTTTTTCACAATAGAAAAGTCATGGTTAAGTGACAAATAGGAGATTAGATTTTCTCATGATGCCCGTGTTAACTCACTAATTTTGAAAGTTCAGCGAAAAATAATACTACTTGACTTCCCAGAGTATTCATTACTTTGGTTTTATGAACAAAAAACAATGTACTGTATTTTGAAGTATCGACTGATGTCTTGAATTTCAAACTTTCAAAAGATTCATAAGCTTAAGTACTTTCAGCCAAACTGAAATGTTCAGTGTCACATAAAGATATATACCTGTGTGCTGTCTCTTTCCTAATTATCTTTTGATTTATAACAAGTTCATTTATATGTTTGGACTTTTCAGAAACGACAGGGAGTACTATTGCCGTGGGCCCACTGCCTTTAACCTGTAAGAAATATTATTCTTATATATCATACCAATAAATATATGGTGCGACACCAACAAGCTTTTTTTGAAAGTGTAATAATGAATCATCAATACTATAAAATGGACTTGGGAGTTCTGTTTAAACTGGAAATAAACTTAACTGTACTGGGACTATAAGGAAGGGATCAGCAGAGTGAATTTGAATGTAAGAGTGTTTATTACAAACACATAAGGTGATCACAGCACTGTACTGTTTTATGTGGAGCTGCCAAGAAATTTCATCTAAGTTCAGGTTACTTTTACTGAAACAAATGACATCAAGTAGGTTGATGCAATGCTCATGTTCATGAAGGATTACGTCCGAAAAAAATTATGACCATCTGCAAAAAAAGTTAGATATGAACATATAAAACAGAGCAAGTTAAGCAGATCAAGTCAGTCAAACAGTCCTACTGATACTACCATCCATTTGGCAACAACGCCCCTCCATATACCTCACTGCTAGATGAATCCACTTATCATCTTAGCAGCATGGCAGTGATGGAATGACACTTATGGAGGAGACTATAACGCTAGAGATGTATATCAAACATATTTCTGTAAGGTTTTAAGAGCAAATATATAGGAAAATCTATGATGTGTGAAATATGTCTAATATGTGTGAAGAATTACCAGGTCTGAAAGCATATAAATTTAATACTGACAAAAAATTGAGATATATCCTCCCACTCTCCAACAACCCTCAATAAATTGTGAACCACTCCAAATTTTTTTTCTGAGCATAGCAGTAACATTGGTGGAAAATTCATCAAAAAGCAAGTAGTACATTCCAAGTTATAGATGGACCAAGGATTAGCAGACAGAAATGAGATGATTTTTCATGATGTACGTATCATATAACATCCAAAAAAGGTAAATCCCATTTTGATAAAACTTTTACGATACTTTCTCGCCACTGGCATTGAAAGTCAAAAACCTCTTGAAGCAATGAAACAGTCAATTTATTGTTATTATGATAGGCTAGTGACAATTTTTTAACATAGCTTCTGATATATTCCATTTATATATACAGGGTGGCGCATCTAAAACGAAACTGACGCATTTACTGGCAGCTAATTTTTTTTGGAAGAACGCTCAGATCCGTTGATTTTGTTTTCGCGTTAACACGTGCAGCCCCCTGGGCGGGGGAGACACCAACCCTAAAATCTTAAATGGAAAGGGGGGTCGAGTGATACCTTATTTTAAAGGTCTTTCAATTCCCTTTATAATGATATAAAATTAATGTACTTCAGTTCTTTAGTTTTGAATATTTATTGATTTAAAGCTTAAAGTAGACTTTAATAGGTACATCAGATTAGTTTGTACTACTTTCAGAAGAAATTTGACTAAAAGAATTTACTTAATAAGTAAATGCTTTTCTTCACTACCCCCATGGTTTGTTTATCATTTTGTTGTTGAAAATAGCTATTGGAGCAGAAATATTTAACGAGCGACATGAGAACAGTAACGTGCATCGAAAATATGTTCTAGAACTTGTAGCTTCATTTCGGGAAACTGGGTCAGTCGCCAATAAAAACGCAACATTGAAAATCCCATAACGAACGAAGCAATAGAAGTGGGGGTTTTAGGGCAAGTTTATGTAGATCCTACGTTAAGTACCCGCAAATTGGACTGTGTGGTGTTAGTCGACGGATTCTAAAGGGTCATAGTTTTCATCCGTATAAAATTCACCTGGTACAAGAACTTAATGAAGACAACTTTGATCGGCGATTACAATTTTGTGAAGATATGAGTGAACGAATTATAAGTGATGAACATTTTCTATTCAACACTTCCGACCAATGTTCCTTTTTCTTAAATCGTCATAACTGCCGATATTGGTCCGATTCTAATCCCAGAATTTATCATGAGGTTCATACACAGCAGCCACAAAAATTAAATGTTTGGGCTGGTATTTTTGGCGATCATTTAGTTGGTCCTTTTTTATTACCTGGAAATTTGACCGGTGAAATGTATTTGGAATTACTGGAAGACGCCATAGATCCTGCATTAACAGCCATAATTGAAAATCAGAATGATCGGCGGTACATTGCGAATAGGTTGATGTTCCAACAGGATGGTGCCCCACCACATTACGCATTACGTGTTCGACAATATTTAGATCAGACGTTTCCAGATCGATGGATTGGTAGAAGAGGTGCCATTGAATGGCCCCCAAGATCGCCAGATTTATCACCTTTGGATTTCTTTATGTGGGGTCATTTAAAAAGCAAAATCTATGCTACTCAGTCAACATCATTAGAAGACCTGCGACAAAGAATTGTGAATGAGTGCCTTCAAATTACTCCTCAAATATTGCAAAATGTGCGGCAATGTTTTGAGCAAAATCTTTATTATTGCATGGAGAGTCATGGTGGCCATTTTCAACATTTGCTTGCCTAATGGGTCAGTTCATTCTCTTATTTATTTTAAATTACTTTGCTGCCAAATGTATTGGTCTCCACTAATGATGATGTATTGGTTTTATTTAAGCTTTAAATCAATAAATCTTCAAAACTACTAAACTGAAGAACATTAATTTTATATAATTATAAAGGGAAATTGAAAGACCTTTAAAATAAGGTATCACTCGACCCCCTTTTTCATTTAAGATTTTTAGGGTGGTGTCACCCCCGCTTAGGGGGCTGCACGCGCTAACGTGATTTTTTGCCAAACTTATGTCCCCCTCGAAAACAAAATCGATGGGTCTGAGCGTTTTAAAAAAAAATGAGCTGCCAGTAAATGCGTCTGTTTTCGATGCGCCACCCCGTATGTCGGCCTCAAACGCTGAAATCCGTCATTCCCTGAAATGCCTAGTCAGTCCCCGTATTGCCGGCAAACACCGTAACAGTTTGATTATTACAACGATTGTGTGATGAATCTTCAAACTAGAAATACATTCTTGATGCGCCACTGGTACTACCGTGTAGCCAAGGGACAAGTAATGCGGGCGGTGGTGTCGGACGAGAGGGGCGCGGGGAAAGGAGAACGCGGAAGAAGATAAGAGCGTGGTTTTTACGACAGTTACAGACACCAGATATGCAAAATTGTAGAATTGCATTTCACATAGCTTGCACTTTTTACAGAGTTTATAAATATACCGTAATTTGCATTGTATTCAGTTCTAGCTATTTCTCGGTCCGTTTCACATCAATTTTGTACGTTTTGAAAATAAAAGTTTTACGGCGAGTACTCGGTTCGTTTTAACGTTTTACCTGACACGGACATCAAACCAGGACACTCCAAGAAGTTCCTGAAGAAGAAGAAGCCGACCAGAATAGTTGGGACTCATCCAAGGCGGATCCATCGAGGAAACCACCACCTGGAGCCTAGCGATAAGGATAGATAAGAAAACAACCACACCCAAGGCAGGATCCATCGAGGAAACCACCAACGGGAGATCAAAGATAAGATTAGATTTAAGGCAAATCACCACATCACTGATGAGAATCATCTTGTGGCTATCGTAAGACTCATTTCCTTTCGTATTTTCCCTTAGTTCCCATTATTTTTCTTATATCTACGACTAAAGCTAAAACGCTTGAAAATATAGTGTATGTCTGATAGTGACGATCTTGAAACTTTAATTGAGAGAATTGCCAATTGGAATCTATACAGAATGCCCGAAACAAGAGCGACTACTGCCTCAGCCAGGCGTTAGAGACGTAAATATATCTTTGCTTAGATATCAGGCTGATGACATTCCACCTTTCGATGGAAATCCTAAACAATTACATAGATTTATATCTTATCTAATTTTCTAAGAGCTTTCCAAAATACAAATAATGTGAATGATCCAATCAATATTTGTTTACTAGATACCATTTTGAGCAAATTGAGGGATCGTGCTGCAGATTTAATTGGTTCGCGATAAGAATTAAATTCATGGGTAGCAATAAAAGATTCTCTTACTGTAACTTTTTCCGATCAACGGAGTATTGATTGTCTCATTCAAGATTTAATATCAATAAGACCTTTGAGAAATGAAACACCTATGCAATTTGGAATGAGAATCCAGGATGCAAGGAGTTTGCTGTTTTCAAAATTAAATACTTCCATTGAAAATGCTATGGAATCGCGTTGTCATTTTGCACAGACGAAGAAAATTTCATTTAATTTAGTACTGGGCGTAACCAGAACCTCCAGAGTTCCTTATACAAACCTCAACCTAGACTCAATCCTCATTTTGTCGCTAGTCAACCGAATACTAATGGTACTGTCACAAATGGTCCACAAGTGAGATATATTCAAACTTCATTTGTTCAAAGCTCTCAAAATCACCCGAAACCAATGATGAATACTTTCCCTGGAAATTATTCTCATAGGCCTAATTTCAATAATAATTTTCCTCCTAGATCTCAGTTTTCTAATTACCCTTCCACTTCATATGCTCAAAATCAGACACAATTCCCGAGATTCAACCAGGCACACATCTCAACGTCCACATTTCCAAAAAACTTCCAAAGGCCACCTTTCTCTACTAATAGACCTGCATATCCACAAATTACTGCAAGTAATAACAGTAATGTCACAACTAGGACAAGATATCCGATTCCTATGGATACTAGTTCAATCCATTCGAAACCGAATGCAAAATCACCCACCCAACACTTATTTGCTCACCAAATTGAAAATGAACAATCACCTATTAATGAAACCATATTGACACCACCTACTAACGGTTCTATGCTCAATGAAAACCAGTGCAATCCACCATATGAGCAATATGACTATCCTAAATATGATTTCTCTTATGATGTTCCAAATCAGCATTCCAACCCAATGCTTGACAATGACACATATTCACAAGAAGTTAACGACCCAACAATTGAACAACAAAATTTTTCCCATGTCCCTCCGAACATCAAACCGATATAATATATTTGAATAATATCCATACAGATCTACCTTACATTTATATTCCCGAATTAACTGCTTATTTTTTGATCGATACCGGTAGTTCCAGAAGTCTCATAGACC